GATTGTTCGAACGTTGGAATAGTGTTTTTAGCAAAATTGAAACGATATTTCAAGCGCGCAACAATAAAAAAGCCTAGAAACCTTTTTATCTGAGATTTTGCTCCAAAATCGGCAATTTTTGGTCGAAAAATCGAGATTTTGGACATTTTTTTAATAGAATTTTGTAGAGTTTTAACGTTTAGGAATAGTAAAAGTCTTTTAGAAACACTTTCACCATTTATATTGGACAAATTGGGTCCTAAAAAAGTTGGTTTCTCCGCCCGAAAACCCCCCGATAATGCGAAAGAACCTTCAAAATCCGCAAAAAATTCCCAACAAAATCGGGTTTGTTGAAAACTGACTAAATCAGATACCGTGAGGACGAGGTGTACAGCTGCGGGCTTGGGAGAACCGATTCTTCGCGATGCCTCCACCCGATGGGAATTTTAAGGATGTGCGAGATTGTGAGTATTTTGTCTGTCTGTAGCCTTACGCCTATATATTAAAACTTAAAATCAAACTTAATTTATTAAAAATTTAGTTTTTAATTAAATTAATAAAAACTAAAAAAAAATATTTTTACAGTTCCTGGTGCTCGTGACGATTTCGTTGATCACCTCCGTCTACGGGCCGGGGCCATTTAAAGGTGAGTGAACTCCTCTAAATAAACCGGCAGCTTTTAGGAATCCTATTCGGCCAGACAATGTTGCTGATCTTTGCCGGCCTATGCCTCTGCGTCTCCTTCATTTTCTTGATCGTCTACTTTTTCGCGCTCGACGAGAGCCACCTCGACTTCTGGCCGTGGAGCCTCACGGTAGGTTAATGGCATCTGGCTGCAAGGTGCTTTGGCATTGTCGGGGGGGGGAGTAGAATTTTTCCTGTATTGTAGCAACAAGTAATTTAATATTATTTTCAGATTTTCGTATGCAAAAACCGGTTAAAAACTCAAAACTTTTTAAAAAGGAAAAAAAAAAAAAATTTTTTTTTTTTTTTAAAAAAAAAAAATATTTTTATAATATTATATAATAAAAATATTTTTTTTAAAAAAAAAATTAAATTTTTAAAAGGGGAATGTCTCAAAAACTTTTAAAAATGTCCAAAAAGTGCAATTTAACTCGCCAATCGATAGTAACAAGCATTTTAATATTATTTTTAATAAAATTTAGCTGTTTTTCAAGTGGAAAAACAGTTTTAAGACTTATAAAAATGGTTAAAAGTTAAATTTCGATCGAAAATTCTAGTTTTTGTTTTTCACGTTAGAAAAATGTAATTCTAAGGCAAAAATTTGCCCCCCCCCCGATATTGCGCAAGAACCGACTGTCAAGCTGGTGGCTTGAGCAGCTTGGAAACGAAGCCGGCTTGAACCGTTTGCCAACGGAAATCGGCCCCAACGAGTTCAAAGTGAGGCTGAAGGAATGAAAACGAAAAAATTCGGCAACTGACTCGAAAAAATCAACTTGACCGGCTCGAAAACGTGGGCCAATTTCAGGACCTGGCCTTCTCGGCGACGGCCTCGATCTTCTTCTTCATTATGACCGTCATCGAGGGGTACTACGCGACGGGATCGTGGGCCAATAATTGCAACGATATCGGATCGGATGGCTTTCTGCACAATGGATGTCGTTTTGTCTACGAGTGGGCCTTTGCAGCGGTGAGTTCTAAGGGCGCAAATTGTCTCTGCTAGCCTGCCTTGGGGCGTTTTAAAGGGACGGGCAGGGCACGGGTATGGATTTTTCGCTTCTGGATTGGTTAAAGATTTTGCCGGGCCCGCGACACGCAACGCGTCGGCAATTACGCAATGAAAGTGGGTCTCGCGCAAATTGTCACTGCTAGCCTGCCCTGCGTTTTAAAGGGACGGGAAAGGCATGGCATGGATTGTTCCGCGTCAGGACACGCAAGCCTTGGCCAATATGAAGCGGTTTTTCTCGTTCTAAACTAAATTCAAAATTTTTCGATTGTTAAATGAAATTTTAATTTTTTAAATTTGCTCGATTTTTAAATTAAATGTTAAATTAATTGAAAAAAGCCAAAAATAAGGCTTAGGTTTAGGCCAACTTAGGCGGTTGCGCCTGGTGCTCGCGTCACGTGTCACCTTGCGCCGCCACAAAAAAAAAAACACGAGAATCCTGAGCCTCAAAAATCCATAGCCTTGACTTGCCCGTCCCTTTAATGGAACCTAGAACCCCTTGAAAACGGCCAGCTTTCAGTTGATGTGCTTCCTGCTCGGCTGCCTGTACGGCGTCTCGGCCCTGTTCGCCCACCGATCGCGGTTCAACGAAAACGATCGGCGCTACACTTATGAATAAGGAAAAAGGATTTACAAATCTTTTAAAGGATTCTAAACTTTAAAAATCCCACAAAATCCATTATGATTACCAATTAAATTGCCTAAATTGTTACAAATAATGACTTTGCTGCTTAACCCGATATAATTGTTTTTTGACGTTATAAACCTTAATCTCATTTGAATTATTCTCTTGCCTTTTCTTTTGTTTAATTTTGTAACTTTCTACGAATTCTATCCCATTTTTGTACCCGGTTCAAAATGCCCCCATTCGTTGCATAATAAAATCGCCAATTTGTTTTGATCTGTTCTGTAATTTTTGTAAAATAAATTACAATATAAAATGTAAACAGGTGTTACGCGTTGTGGAATTTTTTAATTAATGTTTTAAATTAAAAAAATTTAAAAATTTAAATATTAATTTTTGGATAATATGTTATTCAATGTAAAATGTATCATGATTTATGTGGGACCATATTCATCCGGCTTCAGGCGTCCCTCGAGCCGGGCGAGCTAAAGAGTGACCGATTTAGGGTACGGTATCAGTCAAGAATTACGGCATTTGACCGTATTACGGTATTACCGTATTTTTAGAGAAATGCATTTTTTTTCTAGAATGTCCCTATTTCACTATCAAAAGTTTTGCTTAATTTTAAAGTATTCCTCGTTTCTTTTTTCTTAAACTGGCCCCAGAATATTGGATATTTTTGACGAATTTAACTGTGCTTTTAAAACTTATCTCAAAAACAAAAAACTGACTGATTCATAAAAAACAAGCCCCCCCCCGCAAAGAGTAAAGTAGCGTACCTTGCCCTCGATCCTCTCCAGAATCCCCATAAACCGTCTTTCGAGGCGCCCCTCCAGCCGATCCATCTCGACGCCGATCACGCGGTGTAGCATCTCGTACGTCAGCAGGGGCGGCGTCTGAAATTTAGGGTTAGAAAGAAGGTGGAAAGCTTATCAAGAAAGATGAATACGAGAGAGAGAGAGAGAGAGAGAGAGAGAGAGAGAGAGAGAGAGAGCGAGGGACAGAGGAAGAGAGAGAGAGTGGGAGAAAGAGAGAGAGAGTGGGAGAAAGAGAGAGAGAGAGAGAGAGAGAGAGAGAGAGAGCGGAAGAGAGATAAAGAGTGAGAGCGAGAGAGAGAGCGAGAGAGAGATTATTGCCAAAATCATACCTCGTTAAAAGTCTGCTGTCCATTTTCTTGACTCGTCTCGGCAAGTGGCACATCGGGCTCCACAGTGGGCTGTGGCTCGGCGGCAGTAGGCGCCACTTCCGCTTCCTCCTCCCTGGCTTCATCCTAAAAACAATTTTCAGTTATTAAAGCTAGTTAAAAGAAATAGGATTTCCGGAACAAACCTGGAAATCTGATGCTCTCTGCTCGACCGGTTCGGGCTTCACTTCCGGCAGGCCGGTCTTGGGAGGCTGGAATGGAGGCGCCATGCCGAGGATCGGCTGCCCCAATTTGGCCATTCGCTCGAGCACACTGTTTTTGGCTGAAAAACACGTTTATCCAATTTTTCTAAAATAAATAGATGAAGCGTGTTTCTAACCGTTTTTCTTATATCTAAATGTAGAAAATGTACACATTTAAATTCAAAATGTCAAAAATATCGATTTTCAACCAAAAATGGACGATTTTGGACCAAAACTTCGACTAAAAAATGTTTTCCAACTTTCTTCCCGCGTGAAATCAAGTTAGATTTTGCTAAAAACACTAATATAAGATAGCTACTATTATGTTATCAGGGCTTTCTAGAGCGTTTTAGTACGAGAATCCAATGATTCGCCTTCCAAAAGTTGGATTTTGTTGCAAAATCTCCTAAAATTCACCTGGTGGAACCTCGTCCTTCAGCTCTTCTTCCACCACCACCGCGCTCTCCACAATTTCCGAGCTCGGCGTCACCGAGCGGTCCCTCTCGCTGCCCGCATCGAGGGTGCTTCTAAATTCCGGGTTTTCTCATTGAAGGTCCCGTTACCTCGTGTCGTCGTTGGCCTTCTTGTGCTTCTTGACGACGATGAGCAGCGCCTCGCCGAGTTTCGGGCACACCTAAAATCAACATGTCTATAATTTCTGGATTGCTTACAAAGATCTGGGCGCTCTTCTTCAACCCGAGTGTGTGGGAGAGGATGCGCTGGAAGTTGCCGGACTTCTCGCGGACGCGGATTCGCTGTTCTTCGCTGGTTTTCTGAAGCAAGATAGATAAATTTTCTATATTTTCAAAAGGCCTATAAAGCTTTTATAAAATTTTTAAATAAACTTACATAAAGCTCGCCGGCTTCCTCGGTATATTGAGTAACCTAAATAGAAAGTAATAATTTTTAAGGTCAAAATCATCAAATTACCTCTAATAAAACGGAATCCCCAATGTCGATCGCTTGCTCGCCACTGCCCTCGTTGATTTTGATCGGCTCCTTGCTGCTCGAGAAGAGAAGTACCTGAAAAAACAACGTTAAGACTTTTCTATCTCGGCTCATTGTACATCTACAGGAGTGTAAAGTATAGGAAAATGTTCGTCTCGCTCTTGCGAGTATTTTGGTACACTTTACACACCTGTAGATGAACAGGGAGCCGAGATACGGTAAGTTAGCCAAAATCACATTTTTTTGTTTTTAAGGTCCGAATATAACTAATTAACATCCGGAAGTCCCTCATAACCATCACCCAATTAACATGCGTTCCCGGGTATAAAACAGCGCGATTCCCTCGCTAGATCATCTCAACTTCCTGACAAGAAGATGGCTCAATCCGTTGCTCCCGGCGACATCACCACGCAGCCCGGCACGAAGATCGTGTTCAACGCCCCGTACGATGACAAGCACACCTACCACATCAAGGTGATCAACTCTGGAGGACGTCGCATCGGATGGGCCTTCAAGACCACCAACATGAAGCGTCTTGGCGTTGACCCGCCGTGCGGAGTCCTTGACCCCAAGGAGCAGGTTCTGGTGGGTGCATTGAACTGCTTGAACTTGTTGTAGCTCTTGTGAACTGCTCGATTTTTGATGGAAATCCGCTATTTATCATTTTCGCCTGTCTAAACAGCTTGAACTGCTTGAACTTGATGCTTTCTCGATCTACCGCTCCTTTTCCAGGTTGCCGTGTCGTGCGACTCGTTCCAGTTCGGTGCCGAGGACACGAACAACGACCGTGTCACCATCGAGTGGACGAACACCCCCCGACGGTGCCGCCAAGCAGTTCCGCCGCGAGTGGTTCCAGGGAGACGGCATGGTCCGCCGCAAGAACCTCCCCATCGAGTACAACCCCTAATTTGCTTTCCTCATCTCCGACGGCCGCAATAAATGATTTTATGAATGTGCCTTCCTTTTTGTGTATTTCACACGAACTCGTCCAACTCCTTGTAAACTCACCCAAGCCGCAAAGGTGAGCAGCGCCTCTCGTTGAGCTTCGGCGAAGACGATGGAGAGCTGCTTTTCGCCTTCTTGAACCCGATGGAAGTAGATGTACAGCCCGTTGAAGGAGAGTTGATGGCGGAAGTCTAAATTTTGTTTTTTTGCTCAATTTCCCGATGATTACCTTCTTCGCCTCTCTGCAGAACGAACTGATGGACGGGTCGCTTGTCGGGCGTGTAGAGGACGACTCGCAACTAAAAAGTTTTCTATAAATCTCGTAGCTAAAAACGAACGGCATTCTGCTGCATCAACAGGGCGAGCCCTAGTTTTCCATATGGGGCCCATCCTTCGCTAGCCTCCATCTTGAAGAACGAGGTGATGGAGGCGGAGAGCAGCGTCTTGACCTGCGCTTGGGGCGCTTCTGAACTAACAATTCTCGATAACTTGTCAGGTTCACAAACCTGTTTTCTGAGAGGCTTCCACCGGCTGCTGTTGCTGTTGCTTTGACGTTGAAGCGAAGATAGAGCCGAGATTTGTCCTGAAAAAGGTTTTGTATTGAAGTTTTCTTGGTTTTATCCTAGTTTTGCCCAGAATTACTCAATCGCTCGAAACTTCTAAAATTATAAGGAAGCAAATCGAGCTGATATTCTCCATACATAAGCCAAGTTTTATCCAGCTTTGAAGCTAAGCCAAGCCTAGTCTGATATATCAGGTTGGAACGAAAGTTCTGTCGCCGAGATTTTGGAGGGCTGGCTAAATTCGTAGATAGCTCCATTCTGCACATGCGATATGTCATTCTGTAGCTCTCGGTCTGAATGGTTCCGGGAGGAGGGTCCTGGGCCCTCAAAATCAAGAACGGCCGAGATACAGGCCCAAGAAGATTTTTCAAAAACTACGCGAAAGTGTTTTTGCAAGTTATCTCTGCATAAAGACATTTGCATGCGATACCTTTAACGCCAATCGATAGCTCTTGAGGAGTAGATAGATATCGATAGATGTTGAGATCATCAAAATCGGACACTGGATCGCCGAGATATGGCCTCTTGAAATTTAACCCATTCCTTAGAACTTTTCCCGAAATCCCATACATTTTGTCAAAATCCGCGCCGCTGGTCCAAAATAAAGCGGTGATTTTCAGCATCTGTCCGCCAAATGTTTGAAATGTATGGGAAATCGAGAAAAGTTCTAAGAAATGGGCTAAATTTCAAGGGACCATATCTCGGCGATCCAGTGTCCAATTTTGATGATCTCAACATCTATCGATATCTACTCCTCAAGAGCTAATTGGTGTTAAAGGTATCGTATGCAAATGTCTTTATGCAGAGATAACTTGCAAAAACACTTTCGCGTAGTTTTTGAAAAATCTTCTTGGGCCTGTATCTCGGCCGTTCTTGATTTTGAGGGCCCAGGACCCTCCTCCCGGAACCATTCAGGCCGAGAGCTACAGAATGACATATCGCATGTGCAGAATGGAGCTATCCGGGATTTTAACCAGCCTCCCAAAATCTTGGCGACAGAACTTTCGTTCCAACCTGATAGAAATGCGTGAAAAAAAGCACCAAGCGTAGGTTAAGCGTCAATTTATACGAAAGAATAAAGTTAAACTTAGACTAAAGCCAAGCCAAAGTCTAGCTCGGCCCTAAGCTGATTCATAAAGCTTGCTTCGAGCTATCTACTTTTCTATTTTTTGCTATCTAGTTGCCATTTTTTTTAAGCCTAAGCATGCGGTTAGACCTTACAAACCTCTTGCTCCTCGTATTGCCACCGAACTCGCTCTCCGAGTCCGAAGATGGCAGATCATCGGTGACGAACATCTAAAACCACCCATACTCATGCTGTTAGACAAACCCAGGTCAATATTCAATTCAATGAAAATACCATAAAAACCGTGGAACCCAAGTTGGTGTATACAAAATTTATCGCCAAATGAATGAGTGGAAAGATACCTAGCAAACTATCACAAATCAGAAGAGATAGCAGAGACTTGCGCTAAACGGTACTTTTGCATTATCGGGAGAGCAAAATTTAACTGTATTTTTTAAGTTAAAAACAATAAAAATTAGTTTTGTCGAAACTTTGGTCGAAAATCGGCCATTTTTCGTCGAAAATCGACATTTTTGTGTTTTTCGTAAAAATTGCCAAAGTTTTTGCGCTTGGGAGTAGCAAACTCGAGTATGAAAACAATTTGGCTAATTATATTGGAAAACGGACTTCTTAGAAAAATTTGCTCCCCTCGATAATGCAAAAGAACCGGCGAAACACAGAAAAATCGTGGAAAGTGAATATGGGCAATGAGAGACATCACAGAATGGAATGTGGGACTATGAGAATAAATCAATTCGTTAGAGCTTCAATTCCTTGAGCTGCTTGACGACGGCGCTATCGGTATTCCCGGCCACCTCGGCGAGCCGCTCGTCCACCCGGCAGATGCGCGCCCGTACTCCAGCTAGTTCACAGCAAAGTGCCAACGAGCGAGCCGCCTCCTTCCGAGCCAACTGAAAATAAAAGTCTATTACAGCCAAGAAAAACGGTGTTTTGGCATTATCGGTGGGGAGAAATCGACAAAAATCGATGTATCCTGACAAAATCGTTAGATTTTTATTTTAAAGAAACCTTAAGCTATGTTAGTCCATTTTAGTCATGTTGAAGGGAAAACTATACCTAAACTACTTTTAAATCATCCTAAAATACAAAAGAGATCAAAATTGATCCATTCGACCGAAAAATCGTGATTTTCTTGCAGTCGTTTCTGGTTTTGGGAGCAAAAATAAACCGCTTTATGTCTAAAAAAACAGTTGAAAAAATAGATAAAAAGCCATTTCTAATCTCGTTTGTTTGGGAATCTTTCAGAATCTCGCATTATCATAATCTCGCATTATCATAATCTCGCATTTTCATAATCTCGCATTTTCATAATCTCGCATTTTCATAATCTCGCATTTTCAGAATCTCGCATTTTCAGAATCTCGCATTTTCAGAATCTCGCATTTTCAGAATCTCGCATTTTCAGAATCTCGCATTTTCAGAATCTCGCATTTTCAGAATCTCGCATTTTCAGAATCTCGCATTTTCAGAATCTCGCATTTTCAAGATCTAGCAATTTCAGTCTCGCAACTTTTCCAAGGGCTTTCCAAGGGTTCCAAGAATTCGATGAATGATGATTGATCACAGAATAAGCGGAACACAACAAATTAATCGAATGTCTGGCCCACTAATTTAAGGGATTCGAGATGGTCAGATGCGTCGTACGCCTCGTCGAGGCCACGCTGGGCTTGGTAATCGATGGCAATGGGTGTCTGCTACATGCAGGGGCGTCGCCAGAAAAAAATTTCGGGGGGGGGCCCCCAAAAAATTGTTCCAAAAAACTCAAAAGATGAACGAGAAAACAGCGCCGCAGGCAAAAATTTTTGAAAAAGAGGTTACATAGCTCTACAAATAGCCGTAAAAACGTGAAAAAATAGCGCCGCAGGCAGCAAAATTTTTGAGAAAATGAAAATCATAAGGGTCCCCCCTTATGAAATTTTCGGGCCCCGGCCGATTTCGGGGCCCGGGCCCCCGGGGCCGGTATTACGCTACGTCCCTGGCTACATGCCCTGTTGCTGCGCCTCGATTAAACGGTTGTCGATGCGTTCTTGGAAACCGCCCAACGTTTCCAGAAACTTCCAAATGCCAAGGCTCTGTTAGTTGTACTTAGCAGAAATGTGGCTAGTCTATGGGAATTGCGAGATTCTGAAAATGCGAGATTCTGAAAATGCGAAATTATGAAAATGCGAGATTATGAAAATGCGAGATTATGAAAATGCGAGATTCTGATACCAAATCCGTTTGTTTAGTTTAAATCTTACGATAAAATTTATGGCATTTTTAAGTGCAAAAAATAGTTTAAAACAGCAGAGAAATATTCTAGGAGCCTCAGCTAAAGATTTAGTTCCCCCATCGATAACGCGAAAGAGCCGCAAAACCACACCTTTGCCGAATTCGGCTCCAAGATGCCGAACGGGCGGAAGGCGCCCTGCGGCAATCCCTGCTTCTTCTCGTCAGTCTTCTCCTTGGGCTCCTCATCCGAATTGCCCTTCGTCGATGTTCGCTTTCGTACCTAAAAAGCTCGTTTCTGCAGAAACTAGTTCTAAACCTTGCTGTCGCCCTCCTCCGACGCTTCGAAGTCCTGAAGCGAGAAGTCATCGCCACTGACGTTTACCCTAAGTTTGAATTAAAGATAAACAACGGGGTTATACCTTGTGTACGGCTCGAGATCGGTGGCGCCCGGTCCGGCGGCCGCCGTCAAAGTGAGGCCATTAATAGATCTAAAAAATATAAATATTGGTTCTAAGAAGATTCCTCACCTAGCCCTTGAAGTCTCACTCCTGACCTCTTCGAGCAGCTTCTCCAATTGGAGGGAGAGATCGGTGTAGGTGGCGGCGAGCTCGAGACGTTCGAAAGCCAAGCTGTTGAACTCGTCAACGGCTCCCATTTGCTGGAATTTAGATTAATCATTAATGGTATACTTGCAAACATAAAAACTTAAATAGAAAGCATAAAATACATAAAATATTGATTTTCCCACTAAAAATAGTTTTTTTACTGTTTTCGAGATGAAATATAGTTATATTTCACTAAACTAATAAAAACTTCATTAGTACGTAAATAGGGCGCAAATATAAAGCAAAAATCTCTCACATAATATTAAATATCGATCCACAGTTTTATCTGCAAGTTACAAAGCAAAATTCAATTTCATTTTCCGTATGTTTTATCGAACAATCAACCATCAACTCCCCCAAATCACAAACGTTTCGCAATCGACGAGATGATACAACAATGCTGGGTGAGAAAGGAAATAAGTTATTTCAAATAAAACCCCCCGTTTCGGAATGGTGAGATACTGTAAAGAATGACTAAACAAAACAAACAACATAAAACAATAAATAGATAAACGTTTAATAGTGGCCCTCTTCGCCGGCGGCCCGCTGCATATTTTGGGTGGCCTTGGCCTGGATGCCGACGAGTTTCGGGCAGTCGGTGATGCGATGGCCCAGACCGGAGCAGTAGGCGCAACCACGGTCTTGGCCGGTACCTGGAAAAGGGGCATATTTTTGTTGAGTAGTTTTGCAATTTAAATAATACACGTTTTTAGCGTCAATTAATTGGATATTTTTCTATACAACTTTGCTAACAAAATCTAGAGCTGAAAATAAAAATCAAAATCTGTTTTCCCACAGCAACAACGATATAGAAATTAGTATCGTGGCATTCCCAGCTGTTTAACGTACACAAACGTAATTATAAACGACTTCCAGCTTAAAAAATTCTTATTTGCCGGCAAATTGGATCAAAATGCTCAAAAAAAACTAGAAAATTCCAATTTAAACGTCAAAAAAAGTTTTTAGAGGAATTTTTCTGTAGCAAATTAGCAAATACATAACAAAAACACTAGAAAAAAGAATTTACCGCCAAAAACAACTATACCGTTTTGACTCTGCGCAGCATCGTCGCCTCCTCCCAGATCTTGAAGCATTTCCGGAAGTGGCTGTCCGGCTTCGATCAGCAACTGCTTCAGGTCCGCCATGATGTTCATGTCCGTCCGTCGGTTGATGAACGTTGTCGCGAGACCACGCCGTCCTGACCGTCCAGTACGACCGATCCTGAAAACGATAGGTTATAAGAAATTTACAATTCTTACCTATGGACGTAATTCTCGATATCGTCGGGCATGTCAAAGTTGAGCACGTGTTCGATGCCCTTGAAATCGAGACCCTTGGAGGCGACGTCTGTCGCGACGAGCACGTCTTTGTCACCGCGGCGGAACGCTTCGATACCCTCGTGACGATCCTGAAATTATGTAAACCAATTAAAACGTATTTCAAATTCAAATACAAAAATATAAATATATAGAAATTTCTGCGGATCAGAAAGCCTTCGGCATTTTTTTAGGTTTTAAAAAGGAATCGTATAAAAACTCAACTGGAATATGAAGTACCCCAAAAAAATGGACTTTTTGGGTTCTTTCGCATTATCGAGGGGACTAACTTTTTGTCTAATCATCATGATTTTTCCAATATAAATAAAGGAGGCGTTTTTAAACTGCTTTTTCATTACTAAGCTTAAAAACGTCATAAATTACGATTATAAACACGCAAATATAACTTTGAACTCGAACTAAAAGTTTTTGAACCCAAAATGGCCGATCGTCGACCAAAATTTCGACTTTTCAAAAAGCTTTAGATACTTTTCCAGTTAAAATATAGTTAAATGTTACAAAAAAACGCTAATAAACATTTCTAGATTTGTACACCCCTGATAATGCCAAAGAACCCTAAAATCAATCTTTTTTGGATTTGCCAAGCGCCGGAAAAACGTAAAAGCACAAACCTTCTGATCTTTTCCGCCGTGAATCGCCGCCGCTTCCACGCCCTTCACGAGAAGATACTCGTAGATGTTGTCAACGTCCAGCTTCTTCTCAGCAAAAATCAACACTCGGGGAGACGTCTTTTGCAGCGATTCGAGCACCTATGATTTCAATACAACGCAAGAAAGAATTGGTATACCTTGACGAGCTTCTCCTCACGGCTGACAAACTCGAATTCTTGGCGCACGTTGAGTGATGCCGCTCCGGCACGGCCCACGTTGACAATGATCGGGCGGACGAGGGCGTTCTTCGCGAAGATTTGGATCTTTTTCGGCATCGTCGCAGAGAAGAGCAGGGTTTGGCGTTGGGCTCTGCAAAAAATAAGGTTGTAAAAGAGGCGGAATCTCGAATTTGTCGAAAAACTTTTACGTCAAAAAAGCTACCGAAACACAGTCACATTGATTTTAATAAATTTTTATTAAAAACGGGCTGATTTGAAAATTTGACCGAAACCACTATGAAAAAACCGCAACGCCAAGAAAACAAAAAAAAAAACATTTTTACGGAATTTTGAAATTTGAAATAAAATTTTGAAAAATAAGGCCTTGGTAAAATGCAAACATACCTGAAATAGGAGAAAATGCTCTTGATCTCGTCCTCAAAGCCCATGTCCAACATTCGATCGGCTTCGTCGAGTACCAGATAACGGCACAGCTGCAGGTTGAAGATCTTCTTCGACAGCATATCCGACAACCGGCCCGTCGTCGCGATGCAAATGTGGACGCCCTGATGGAACATTCGCGCTTGTTCGCCTGAAAACAGAAAATAATTTTTTAATAACTTAAACGTTCATCTAATTAACAAAATATAGCATAATTAATAAAATAATTTTTCCCAATAATTCTCTAGGGTCCTATAGGAAAATTTAAACCATTTTTATAGCATTTTAGACAGTTTCTAGATACAAAACCCTCATAAAAATACTACAATGTTCGCAAACTATTGTCAAAAATGTATGAATAATGCCCAAAAAAAAATACCAAACATTTTGAATTTTCCTCATTTTTTAAAGATTTTTGTAAAGGGGTTAAAAAATCAGCCCAGTACCGTTAAATTAATTGTTCTCACCTAACGGCTCGCCGCCAATGCACAGCGCGACGCGGATTTGTGCGTATCGGGCTCGGGCCAGCCCGTGGCAAAGATCGCTGACGACATCGTGAATTTGATGGGCCAATTCACGCGACGGGACGATGACCAGGGCAAATGGGCCTAAAAACAAATGCTAAACAAGAAAAATAAAAGCTCACCCTCTCCGCGGTCAAAAGGCAGTGCCGTCTCCTGCTCCAGCGCGAACATGACCATCGGCAGGGCAAATGTTATCGTTTTTCCGGAGCCAGTTGACGCAATCCCGATCATGTCACGACCGCTGAGCGCCACGGGGCAGCCTTGTACCTGAAAAGAAAAATAGAGTTTTCATCTTGCTATCGGTCAAAAAATAAACCCAAAATATATAACTTTTATAGTGTTTTTACGATCACTACAATAATGTAGATACTGGACCATTTCGAGCTTCCCAAAAACACCAACTTTTTGGCCAATTTTGTCATTTTACCAAGTTTTTAGACAAACGCTATGATTTTCCAATTTTGATGGTTTTATTCAATGTTTTCCACATTGAAAAAAAAACAGTAGAAAACGTTAAGGAATTTTCTGTCGCAACGTTGGAAACTCGAAACTTCGGGAGTACCCTAAAAATCCAAAGTTTGAGACCGATTTCGCCAGTTTTCACACTTTTTAGACAAAACGCCAAGATTTTCCAATTTTTGTCGTTTTTGTTCAATGTTTCCCACATTAAAAACCGTATAAAACCCTCTACACGAAAGCTTGAGGTTCAACGACGGCTTTTTCGAGCGCTACGCGTCAAAAATGCTAAAATTTTTACCTGAATTGCCGTGGGCACGGTGATGTTCTTCTCACGTAACGCGTCCAAGATGCACTTTGGGTACTTCATCTCCAGGAAGCTGCCAATCGCCGGCGGCGGATCTTCGCCTTCGACTGTGATTCCCCTCTTCCGCCGATTTGTCGCGTGGTCCGTTTCGCTTTGTTTTCTAAAAAGATTTAAACATAAAAATCGTCAGAAATTACCTAATGTGATAGGGCGGGCGCCAGCTGGTCTTCAGCGACTGTTCGTAGACGACACCACGCGCCGCTTCGGTGATGGCGAGCAGTGAGTTTTGGTCGTTCAGAGAGGCGAGGATGGCCTCCTCCTCTTGGCGCTGTACATCGACGGGGTCTTGGACGACCTCCTAAAGTCATTTCAGTTGCAAAATAGAAGCCAGGGTTCCCACCTCGGGCACGTCACTGTGTTTCTCGAGCAAGCTCTTCTTCTCTTCCTCCTTGGCTCGCTCGGCCTCTTTCCTCTTACGTGCCTCCTCCTCCTCGCGTGTGGCGTTCTTCGTGCTCGTGCCGACGGTGAGCACTGTTTGCACCAATGCTCGGCGCATCTAAAAAGAAAGATAATAGTTTTCAAAGGCAATTGGTTGCCTCTAATTTCTCGCAAAAATTTACCGCCTTCTCCTTCCTGCGCTTGTGTGCCGGCACGAAGAGGTCCATCTCCAGATCGGACTCGCCGGACGAGAGCAGCCCTTCCCGCTGACGCTTCTTCTCCTCTTGCTCGATTTGTCGCCGGCGGGCCTTGTACTTCTCGAGGCTTTTGGCCACCGTTTCCTGATCAGCCCCATCGACGTCCATTGCCTCTTCTACCATTGTTACCCTGAAAAACACGTTATGTTTTATAGTTAGAGGATAGCTTCATAGACTGAAAAAACATGGAAAATCGGCGGCTTACAATATTAATTCGTATTAATACACTTAAATTGGCTTAAAAAATCGTTGTTTTTATGATAGCGCAGTACCGCAGAAAGAGATTAGCGTCCAGGATTCATCAAAATCGCGAAGTAGCTGTTTTATCCCGCTGACAACGTACTACTTCTTTTGATTTCCGCTACATCCAATTTTTTTTGGTCGCTAACAAAACTTGACGCTTTTCTTGCAACAAAAACTAAGCTTGTAAGCTTCAAGCGGCAGCAAGAATTGCCTAGGTGCTCTTACCAGTAATATGAAATCATTTGAAAGAAATTATGCATCGTTCCTGAACGTGTACTTCAAATGCAACAACCTTCGGCTCTATGTACACACAACTTTATTCTTTCAAAAATGAGCATAAACAACAACATGTAAATATAGAATGCCACGCGGTAATATGCCAAAATGAGGGGATAAATATAAACCCGGAGTTTGGGGGATTACCGTATTTGCTTAGGGGGACGACTATGGGGGAAAAGTAGAAAGAATTACGAGAGAATAACCATGTCGGGGGGAATGAACGGGGGGAACAGTATTTACAAACCGAAAAAAGGGGAATTATACCGAGGCGTATCCACGGGTGCGGTTGCGGTGGCGGCCGATGAGGTAGGCGACGAACACGCTGACGACGAGGCCAACGAGGAAGCAGCCGACGATGATCGGTACCACGGCGGACGTCTTCGGCTTGTCGGGCAGGTCAGCAGGGCACACCTAGAAGAATATAATGAAAAGGGTTTTTGGCAAAATAGGACGGAAATTTTGTTTCCTTAGCATCCAATTTTTCTAGGATAAACCGAGGAACAGTTTTATGATGTTTTTTATTGTACCTAAACGTAAAATCGTTACAATTTTGTTTATTACAAGGCACAAACATCGATTTTTTTTTTCACCAGATTTCAAAGTTAAAACCTCTCAGCTTTCTAAGCGGTTTTTTGGCTTTAGAGAAAGATAAATTTTGTTAAAATCACTATTAAAATACGCTCTATAACAGTTCTAGGCAAAAATGGACTTCTAGGGAATCTGCCTTTGCTAAAGCGTCAAAAAATTTCTCACGTCATTCTCCAATCCCTTGGGCCAGACGGGCGTATCGAAGTCTTCGAAGGCGACGGCGCGGGCTTCACCCAGAACGACTTGCACACCGTCTTCAAAGTTGAGCGGCAACGAGTGGCAGGTGATGGCGTGGAGAACGGCGGCGCTGTACGTGGTCGAGTTGAGGGCGCGCTGGTAGACGCCCGACACGTTGTACTTCTCGGTGGGGTGCACCTGAAAGTAGGCATTGAATCACACAGAAAATTTTAGAAATAGAAATAAAAAAGCGAAACCCTTTCAAAACGTCCAAAAATTTTACATACCTCAAGGGTCCAGTTGGCAAGCTGGTACTCGTTCTCGATCTTGACGAACTGCAGCGTCAATTTCCAGGTGTCGGTGATGTTCGGGATGGGACCATCTGAAAAACGCGAGGGTTCATGCAACAGAAAAACGAATAATTTTCGGTGCTTTCGCACTATCGGCGGGTTAACTATATTCAAAGTGGAAAGAACTTTGAAAAAAAGTTAGAAGAATGTTTGAAACAGTCGAAAATTGGGTCATTTTGGTCATAAAAAAAAACAATTTTCGACCTAAAATTAAATTTTAATTAGAATTTGTAGTTTTTATGCTTAGCAATAGCCAAAAACAGGGCACAAATGCATGCGCTCCTATAAAAAAAGATGAGGCTTGCGCCGAAAAAGTTTGTATTCCTCCCGCGAATCGTTTTTCTCTCAAAAATTATGAAGAATCCGTACTTAAAATCGTACAAACACCAGAAAACGGTTTGGTTTCCACCGCCGATAATGCCAAAAACCAATTTTTCTAAACAAATACCAACCCGGGAAGAAGGCGACCGTCATGATGTTCCCGTGCTGCAAGCCGTTGACGGGGACTACATCGTAGCAGGTGCCGGTGACAGTGGCGTTGACGATATCCAGCGTGAAAGACGTATTGCCTTGGTGGATGCTGAGGGTGGGCTGGAAAAATTAAATTACTACAAAATTCTACAGAAATTATGGCGCATTTGGGATAATTAAAATGAAGCCCAACCTTCGATTCCACCATCGCGCACACCGAATCTTTCTTCGTCGGATTCTTGACGTACCACAGATCGGCCATCGCACCGACAGCGAGAACGCTGCACAGAAGGAAGAGCTTCATGACTGGAAACTGAAAAAGGGTTCTGTAAAAAGTAAAAAAGTGAGCGAAGACGAACTAGAAGACAGTCGAATAAACACGAAGCGGCCTGAGTCACCGGGAGCCGTCTTCGCCGCGCGCGGACAATAATATAAACAGGCAGTGTTTACGTGACAGTGCATGGCTTCCAGCGCCGAAATCGATTTGGATCTGGGGTTTCCGGAAGGCCGGGTATAATGGGTTTGGTCTAGTGAATGGCATAAACGTTTAGCGGAACCGTCGAAAGTGCTTTGAGGCAGTTGAAGGTCATGAAGATGGCCGGGTGACCCAATTGCTGCAACTTATTGATTTCTGAAAAGTTTGGAAGATTTCAAGTCTGCGACTTCGAAAATCTTGCAAACGAATAACGTTGAACCAATAAGCATGATTATCATGAAAAGCCCAGGTTCAAGAAAATGCGATTGATGTAGCAGGATATTTCGAAAATCGACATTTTCCGCAACTTATTCATCAGCCTAGGTCAGGAAATTTGAAGGATGTTGAAGCTAAAAAACATGAGAATCGTAAAAACAGGATAGCATTACGAGAAGCGCAATGAATATACGTAAACTTTCGTGTTGACCACGAAAAGAGGATATTTCGGCAAAGCGGGATCAAAATCCTGGATTTTATGGAGCAACAAAAGGCTGCGAGCTTCCAAGGCTTCGCAACTTTTCGACAATCGTGACCCCGATCCGAGAAACAAAAGCATAGGTTATCTTCTAGGAGTACCAAAAATACTGCGAAACTTTTCGAATCCCGCTACAACCGAATCTCGAAAAAAATGTAGAAACGGGAACGCTGGTCAAATTCCTGCAAGTTATTCAGCGCAAGGGAGAGATTTACCGGGTTTCAAACGCAAAAACAAGGAAACCAAGCGAAGACGCTATGCCAAGAACTAAGAATACTATGAAACTTAAGGGATCGCCCTAGAATTCAGCCAAATCTAGAGTAAACGTGAAAAAGTCCATATAGGGAAACGAACAGTGACCAAAACCGAAAATCGATCATTGGTAAGAGGCGGCATGCACCCGGTGGTGCGGCCTTTCATAAGGCAAAGGCAGGGGGGATAGGGGAACGGGGCAAACAACCCGAAAACAACCAGCCACAGCAGCGTTGCGTACTCTGTTTCGGCCGGCGAGGTGGCCGGCGAACCTAAGGGGGTGGCGAGCTGGCCGGCAAACCTCGGCGCAGTGGCCGGCGAACCAGAGCTCGGCGAGGTGGCCGGCGAACCACCGGCGAACTTCGCCAGAAAAGGGGATGAGAGGGGATCGGCGAACTTCGCCGGCGAACCACGACGCGACCGGAGTGGCGGGCTGCGAGAGGAAAAAAGTCGTAAGTCATTTGCAAAAAAAACAACCGGCGTGCGATCCGGCGGCCGAAACTACAGGTTTTTTTAAGAATGATACTATTATTATAAAGACTGATAGATATGAAAGCTGCCGACGAGAAGCAGCGGATGCGCGATACGGCGATCCAACGCGTTACTGAAATATTACGATCGGTGAACGATGAATCGGATCCAGATGAGGTGGAGGATACAGTGCCGGAAATGGAAGAATACGCAGGTCTGTGATGTTATTAGAAGGAAGAAAACGAGGCTCGTTGGATGAAAGAGGTAAGCTAAATTGTTAGGCTTTTTCCGTAATTCTTTAGCCCGCAGTGATGCATGGAAATTTGGCCTTCGAAAATTTCTACAGTCATAATACAATACGTCAGCTCTCCTACGAAACAATGGTAAGGTAGCGGTAAGTTGATCAAAACCGAAGATGAAGGTAGTCAGTAAAGGAATACCGCCGAAAGCGTAAACCGGTACCAAACACAACGTTTCGCTTCTGACAATCTCAAAAAGGTACAATTTCGAATCGAATTCAGGCCTCCACAAGCCGCTTCTCCTGCGAGGAAATTCATTTCTTCACCCGTTGTTAAACTTTTACTGTTGATAAATTGATTTAAGCCCCCCCCCCTTCTGCAGTCGCTATCTGGGTCCAATCCATCCTGGTTCTATTAATCCATGTTTTCTTCGTATATCCTTATTGTTGAATGAATAATAATCAAGGGGATTAAGCATCAGCGACAGGTTCGCCAGCGAAGTTCGCCGAGCTGGTTCGCCGGCGAAGTTCGCCGACCCCTTGCTGGCGAGGTGGCCGGCGCAGTACGCCGGGCGAAGTTCGCCGTGGTTCGCCGGCCACCTCGCCGGCCGAAACAGAGTAGCTGCGGGTATCTCGCGAGAACGACGTTAGACATCAGCTACCGGGTTAAAGATGTTGCTGATCACTGCCGGCGAATAACTTCGAGATGTTACTTGCGGCAGTGGAGCTTTCGCGTTATCGGGATCAAATTTTGCAAATATGAATAGAGGAATAGTTTCTAAACTGTTTTTTTAATATTCTCAAACGTAAAAACTTTACAAATTTTTATCACACAAATATTAAAAAAGCTATTTTCCGATTAAAATGACCGTTTTTGACCCAATACTTTCGACTTTTAAAAATTTTCAAGTTTCTAGATAGTTTTTCGAGTTTAAATTTAGTTTGATTTTACTGAAATCACAAAAAATACCCTATAAGGCGTTTTGTACTATTCCTAAGCATAAAAAATTACAATTGAGTTTACAATTAATTTAAAACGAAGAAATAAATAGAGGTTTCCACTAAATATCGCCCATTCTCGGCCACTTTAAAATATTTTAAAGGTTTTTGAAGTGTTCTAGACAGTTTTTTGGCCTGGAAGTACTGCAAATTTTGTAAAAAGGTTATGAAAACTATTTGCACGAGGTTACGAGGTAAATTCTGGATTTACTAGCTTCAAACATAAACAAACCCTAAACAAATCAAAAAGAGACAAAAAATCACAACCGTCCTTCGACTTTGAAACGCTCTAACCTCGAGCTCAGTAAGGAAATCGATTTGGAGCACGAACTCTCGTGCTCCAGACAGTAGTTATCAAGCAAATTCACCAAAATAAAAATCAACAGCTTTTACAGATATCATACCCGTTCGAGGCATAAGATTATCAAAACCAGGTTTGCTAAAAAATTTATTCAATGAACAAAGCCCGTCAAAAATCAATACAACCGAAAAATACACAATCATTAAAACAAACAAACAAAAAGACTAATTATTGTCGCGCGTGTCATTGTGGCGCTTCAGCTGCTCGCGCAGCTCCATATTCTCCATACTCAGCCGACACGCGTGCTCGAGCACCTGAAATGGGAAGATTGACGGGAGAAATAAAACTGGTTCTTTTGCATTATCGGGGGGGGGGAGAGATTTTCTTAGAGCCCAATGAAACAAATAATAGCGGAAGTGTTTCTAAACTATTTTTACTATTGTTAAACGTAAAAAACTCCACAAATTTTTATTTAAAAAGACAAAAAAATATCGAGTTTCGACCAAAAATGGACGATTTTTCACGAAAATCTCGACTTTTTAGCAATTTTTAAATTGGTTTAAAATAGTTTTTCGAGCCGATACATAGTAATTTTTACTAAAAACACTAATAAAATACTTCCTATTAAGTTACTAGGTATTACTGGGCCTATCCTACTGTATAAAAAGTTAGTTTTTTGGCCAAAATTTCAACTTTTAAAACTTTTTTTGTAAGTTTTTAGATGGTCTTAACTTACTAAAAACACCATTAATATACTTATCAAGTTACTAGGAATTTCTAAAATCCCCCCCGATAATGGGAAAGAACCTAAAAATTACCTTTGCATTGCTGCCCTCCAGCGCGGCGAGCTGTCGAACGAGTTGCGCATTTTCTCCTCGGACCTAAATTACAGTTTTTCTAGAAAAAAAAGAAAAGAAAGAGATTACCTTGGCTGTGACGGCGATCTGTACACGTCGAGCTTCGAGGGCTTTAGCCAGCCGCTTTTGTAGGGACGCCTAAAAAATAGAAAATTAATTGGTTCTTTCGTATTATCGTGGCGGAGTCAACTCAGACTTTTTATAATATAGATAATTTTTTGGCTAAAAACGACAATTTTTGCTATTTCTAAAGGCAAAAACATTACAAATTGCGATTAAAAATACAACAAAATATCGGGTTTTTCGGCAAAAAAACGCAGATTTTCGATTAAAATAGAACTAAAATTTTTCTACGTTTATTTTTATTGTTTTTCCACTTAAACTATAGTTCATTATGCTAAAAATGCTAATAAAACCCTTAATATGACGTTAGTAGGAATTTGTGGACTTATAGGAAAAAGCTACCCCCCGTTAATGCCAAAGAACCAAAAAAACTTACTTTTTCAAGAATTTAACCAATTTCTATCTATAAAACAACGAACCACTTTCGCCCTCATGTCTTCTTCCGATTCGTTGGCCATAGCAGCAGGAAGTGGCGCCAAGATAGGTCGATTCTCATCTTGCTCTTCGGCCAGTGGAGCGGCGGCTACAGGAGCGGCCACAGGAGCGGCTACAGGCACGGCAACCGGAACCGGTGCGGGTGGCGCCACGACAGCAATCGGTACAGCCGGCGGCGGGGCAACCACATCATCTAAAAATACAACTTTTATCCAAACACCCAAATAGAACTCGACCGTCTATGCCCGCAGTCAGATCATGCTCAAAATTGGCACAAAAATAGAACCACGAATGCTGAGAACTGCTTTTTAACATACGCACTTAAAATAGAATTTTAAAATTTTTATAATCGTTTCAAACTCGAGATTTTCTCGACTCGAGAGTTGTTTAACTAGCCAGTCATGTTTTTGCCAATTAGGAGCACGAGCTAACGACATATTTCGCCAAATTTAATCACGAGCCAAAAGCACATTCTTACCATTTGTGAGCCCGAGGTAGCAGCATATTTTATATTTTTGTCTCGGGCTCAAGAATTGTAAGAATGTGCCTAAGCTCGTGCTCAAAATTGAATTGAATTGTGCTTTTTTGTTACTTTTGAGCGTGAACTAACAACTTATTTTTGCGAATTTGGGGCCGAGTCCACAGCATTTTTGCCAATTTTGCGCACGAGCCACACGAGTTTATATTTAGCATATTTTAAATTTTTGTCAAATTTCAGCACGAGCGAACAGAGGCAATTTTTAGAGGCCGCTTTTCAGACAAAATAAGTAGCGCGTCCGAGTAAAGTCTACATACCAACTGGCTCATTCTTGACGGTGCGCAGCATCGGACGCTGATTCCCCACGTTGCCGAGCGTCTACAAAAAAAACAAGATGACGTTTTCGAGGAATTATCAGACCTTTTCCGTAGCGGTTGTTGTGGTCGGGGGCGGGGTTTGGTTCCTTTTCCAGGGAAGAGGAGGCACCGGCCGAGGGCAAAAGACTTTGGAGACCGATTTCGCCGGGCTCTTCGTCAATTCGTTTGGGTTGGATGAAGAAGTTGGAGGGATCTAAAAGAACTTGCAAAAAATTTAACTTAAAATCGGATCTTTCGCATTATCGGGGGGGTCACTTTCTTTCTAAGGATTTTTCAAAGATAAATAGCGGAAGCGTTTCTAAACCACTTTTTCACTATTCCTAAAAATACAAAATATACGATTTTTCGACCAACAATTGCCGATCTAGACAAAAACTTAGACTTTCAAAAAATTCTGTAAGTTTTTACATAGTTTTTCTAGCGCAAATATAGCCAAGTTTTACCAAATTACTAAAAAAATCCTATTAAGTTACTAGGCATTCATAGGCAAAAAAGCCGCCCCCCGATAATGCGAAAGAACCAGATCATTCAACATTGTTTAATCAACGTCAACTCTCAATTAAAATCAACCGGGTACTCGACTGTTAGCGGGGGGGGGGGGGTGTTAACTTTTGTTTTGCCTTTTTTCCGCCTATACCTTCCTTCTTTTGATAAAATATAGCGTTTTTTTCCGTTTTCGAAAGTGGTTTTTAATCGCTAGAAAGTTCAGAAAAAAACCTTTTAAAAATTTTCATCATTTTTGTAAGTTTTTATGTCTAAAAACGTGTAACATTCTTCAAAAAGGTTTCTATTCCGTTCTAGAACGTCAGGATTATTCGGAAAATTTGGTTTCCCCCCCCCGCTAACAGTCTAGTACCAACAAAAATGTGAAATCTTGAAAATTACCACGTTGAGAAGGGTCGATGAAGCAGTCGGGGCGGTGGCAGTAGCCGTATTTCCTTTCGTTGAACTGGCGCCGAGTTGCGCCAATATCGAAAGTTCAGAGGGCGACTGAAAAAAGAGCAATTTTAGAAATTTTACCCGTTATCATTTTCTTAGAAAATAGAAAATATCGATTTTTCGATCCAAAAGATCAGTTGTAAGCAGAACTTCAAAATTTTCCATTTTTACTAAATACGTTGGCTCTGTACCGATATAAGGGATTTCTGCCGATATGAGGGATCACCGCCGATATAAGGGATCACCGCCGATATAAGGGATCACCGCCGATATAAGGGATCGCTGCCGATATAAGGGATCGCTGCCGATATAAGGGATCGCTGCCGATATAAGGGATCATCGCCGATATAAGGGATCGGAAAAAAACCCGAAAATGGCGGGGACCGATATAAGGGATCATGAAACCCGATTTCGGCCAAAATGTCGATATAAGGGATCAGAAGAAGGATTTTGCGCGATAAATTATTACATTGATTTATAGAGCTATTTATTTAGGTCGATTTCGAAAGAAATTACAGAGAAGTTGATAAAAACTAATGTTTTACGGAAGTATTGCCCAATCCGATGCCTTTGCCAGTTTGTGATCGTGGTGCCTCCGCCTTTCCTTTTCCCTCATCCACCTTATTTAGTTTTCTGCGACTCCCGCGTTAACCTCTGCCAGGACTTATACAGGACTTATTATATACTACTACTAGACACAGGATTTATTTAAACCGATGGACTAACTCGGTGATGCAGCTATTTCGATCCCTTACCTCTATCTGCTTTAGTACGACCTCTGCCATCAATTCTTCGGCGTTCCAATCAGTTTCCTTCCGGCCCCCACCAGTCTACCAAAAATCGAATAATACTTCCGTAAAACCTAGTTTTTATCAACTTCACTGTAATTTCTTTCGAAATCGACCTAAATAAATAGCTCTTTACATCAATGTAATAATATATCGCGCAAAATCCTTCTTCTGATCCCTTATATCGACATTTTGGCCGAAATCGGGTTTCGTGATCCCTTATATCGACATTTTGGCCAAAATCCGGTTTCGTGATCCCTTATATCGGTACCCGCCATTTTCGGGTTTTTTCCGATCCCTTATATCGGCGGTGATCCCTTATATCGGCGGTGATCCCTTTTATCGGCAGTGATCCCTTATATCGGCGGTCCGAGGCCCTGATCCCTTATATCGGCGGTGATCCCTTATATCGGCAGAAATCCCTTATATCGGTACAGAGCCAATACGTTTTAGTAATTTCTTTTCTTAAAACCATAAACTTGGCTAAAAACAATTAAACGAACTTTACCGTTTAAATTAAATTTATTGCAATGTTCGGGGACTTTTCCATTATCGGGGGGGAGGGCTTATTTACTGCCGTAATTCCAGGTATCACAAGAATTTTAGTACAATTTTTATAAAATTTAGGGATATTTCAAACCGAAATCTATGGAAAAAAACTTCAAAAAACTGCTTAAAATTCGGAATTTCTGAAAAAAATCGAAATTGTTAAAATTGTCGTATTTTTAAGCAAAATTTAACGATTTTAGGTTTCGGAATCGTAAAAATTGCCTAGAAAATCTTTAAATTTGGATTAGAAAAATTGCCGCCTCCCCCGATAATGCACATGCACCGCGTTCTGACCTTTTTCGGGACCTTGGGCTCCGGGACGGGCGGCAGAACCGGGTTCAGCGTCACTTGAGCAGTTGAAGTGGTCTTGGCCACGTCCTAAATAGCAATAAATCAAAAGTAAAAAGAAAAACGAAACCTTTGCAGAGGTCTTCGGCCCGGGAGATGCATTCACCGACGCGATGCGCTTCTTTACCGGGGTTGGCGTCTGGAAACGAAAAATAAGAAATAAAAATTAAATGAAAGCATTAAATAAGAAACAAACAAAACAATAAAAACTACCTTCTTGGCGCTGACGGCCTGATCATCTTCTTGTCGATCAGCGGCTTGCGTTGTCTAAAACGAATGTTATGAGGGCTTCGGTTTAACGTCTTATTTTTACCACATCGAAATTCGGAATTTGCAATGGTACTTTTGCAGTATCGGGGGGGAGAACTTTTTGCAAAAGTCAAAAAATGCCTGGAAACGTAATAGAGCGCATTTTAATAGTGTTTTTCGTAAAATATAACTCTATATCGACTAGAAACACAATCTAAAAAATTTTAAAAGCTAAAACTCGCAATATGGCACAAAAATCGGCCGTTTTTGGTCGAAAATCGTATTTTTGTATTTTTTTACTAAAAATTTGCAAAGTTTTAAATGTTCACATTTAGGAATAGAAAAAATAGCTTAGGAATACCTTCGCTACTTATATTCGAGAAATCGGAACCTAGAGAAAAGTTGCCCCCTCCCCCCCCGATAATGCGAAAGAACCTGTTTCAAATGTTTCCTTTTTCAAAAAGAATATTTTAAATTATGGAATTTCAACAGTATTATACTAGAAAATGAATTCATTCAATCGCTACCCTCTTCCTGCAGTTGATCCCTTGCGGCAATACATCAGAACCGGTCGCGATCGCCGGGGAAGAGGATGTAGCCTAGAAAAACATTTCTTGAAGTTTAACAATTCCATACCGAGGCGGCAGGCTTCCGCATGGCCGAGCGGAGGGGCCGAGGCGAGATCTCGGAGCGCATCTAAAAAAATAAGTTTGGATTGCAAAAAGTTCGAAACCTTTTGATATCCTGAAATCACTCGACGCTGTTTTGTCATGATGTACAGTCGTCGTGCTAAAAAAATACGTTGAACTGAACTTTGGTGTGTCCGAAAAATATGAAAAACATGCGGAGAGAGAGAGAGAGGAAGGGGGGGAAAGGGGGGGGGGGGGGGGGGGGGGGGGGGGGGGGGGGGGGGGGGGGGGGGGGGGGGGGGGGGGGGGGGGGGGGGGGGGGGGGGGGGGGGGGGGGGGGGGGGGGGGGGGGGGGGGGGGGAGAGAGAGAGAGCGAGAGAGAGAGAGAGAGAGAGAGAGAGACCGAGATAGATATTGAGAAAACTGCGTGATAAGAGAAAAAAGTATCAAGAAATTAGTCTTTACACGACGACTAAGTTGAGAATAAATCCGTTTAGGTTAATTTAGTCGTGTAGACAAAATATTGGAACAATATAAAGTTTCAAAACCAATGAATAAATCGCCAATTAAGTCAAAAGAAAACGTGGTAACGAAGAAAATTGCAATGATCAAGCTTCGAAGGAAAGAGTTTAGCTTTAAAAGCTTCGCTTGCTTCCGGAAACTAAAGATGGTCGATTACGCAAGTGGGTCAAAAGTCTCTTTATCCTCTAGCGATCCTCCCGCAAATTTCTGGGGCGCTACAAACTTCATCAGACTTTCACGCGCACCAATGAAAGCTGAGGAGGGCTCGAATCGCTGCTTAGACGGGCTCACTAATGAAACTTACGAAAGCGCTTGGTATGAAAATATCTCAAAAAAGCCAAACAAGCTTGCAACTTTTCGGCTTTAAACCAAAATGCTTCCAGTTCCACGGAAGTTGTGGAAGTTGAGGAGCAAGAATGACTTGGAAATGACCAAGAAAACTCAAAAGGCGGAAGCCTAAAATTAGACAAACGCGTTGGATTCAGCGAACGCATCGTCGGATTCCACTGCACTCTTGCTCTCCGAACTCGTATAGTTTTATAACGACTTTCGGTAAAAGATTTCGTTTCGACAGGGTATACACGTATAGGTATAGGGTACTTCATCAGACGTTCGCCGACGCGTTGCTTGTTGCAGAATCCGAAACAAGCCATATGAAATTGCATACTAGATTTGGCCAGGCCAGCGGCATACAAGCGCGTGACGCGTCAGCGCACTTTTGGAGGAGCAGCGGTCCGGGCGCTGCGCATCGAGGAGGAAAATCTATTTCGAATCCATCGCCAACAAGATCCAGAGCCTGGTACTCACAAATTTGTCTTTTAGATTAAGCAAGAGTAGAGTAAGAGTAAGTTGGAAAAACCGCGCGTCCCACAATGCACTAATTTCTAAGTATTATGAAATCAGAAACGGATTTGCAAATTTTGTCATCGTCCTGCTCCCAAGTAATCCTCTCCTAATACCGTTCAATTAGTAATTCTCTATTTATTCTATTCTTTTTATTCGATTCTTTCGCATTATAGGGGGGGTACCGATCTTCCTAACCGTCAAACTTTATAAATTTTTGATTAAAAAAACCAGAATTTCAATTTTTTTTTTGACCCCCAAACTGGCCGCTTTTCGACCAAACTTGGAACTATACAGTTTTGTAAGTTTTTTCTACGGCTTTCCACTTGAAATATAGCTACATTTTACTAAAAACACTATTAAAATAACTGCCATTACATTCCTAGATATTTCTGGGCATTTCTCGAAAAAGTGCCCCCCGATAACGCGAAAGAACCCTATAATTTCCTGGGGGGTATTGGTACGAGTGTTCCCTTTAGTCAGCCACCGACGGCTGCAGGTGGCCAGCTTGACCATGATGAGGTCATTCTGGCGGAATGGCCAGCGGTACTTCCGGAGAGCGAGACACGCCGCCCAGCGCGCTCGAGGCCTACACGCCCCGAAAAAGGAGCAGGGGGGATTTGTACGATCTCGTGGGGGCGGCTAGGGTTATTAGTAGTCGGAGACGGCATTTCGGCTGAAGCCCCGAGTCACGATACTCGAAATGCCGTTACATCACCACGAAGATCGACAATCACTGGTCGGTGAGTGATTTTTTGCAAACAGCAGTAATATATAAATTACAATTATAAAAAGTAATAAATTCACAATTCACATAATCAAAATAAAGTCTTTTAAACCTGTTTTTAGTAAAATTTAGAAATTTTTGATGTGTTTACAGTTTTAAGGTGTTTTCGCAGCATCGGGGGGGTTCCCGTAAGTACAGAAATGCCTAGAAATGTAATAGCAAGTGTTTTAAAAGCGTTTTTGTAAAATTGGACTATATTTCAAGTGGAAAAACAAGCATAAATTTTCCAATAATTTTTAGTTTTAAAATTTGGTCGAGATCAGCGATTTTTGGGCGAAAAATCGATGTTTTCCGTCTGTTTTAATGTAATTTTGTAAAGTTTTTGGCTTAGGAATAGCAAAACACTATTTAGAAACAATTCCTCGATTTATACTAGAAAAATGCAGCTTTAGTAAAAGCAGTTGAAGCTGCTCCCTGCTAAACGGCGCGCCTTTTTAGACACGATCACGTTCCTGGAGACAGAGGTCTCGAAGCTGGCCGTGGAGAACGAGGCGTTGCAGCGGGACCTTGTAAGCTAGATTTAATCTGCTCTTTTCCTCGTTTCATTACATTGACCTTTAAAGAAGCGCTTCGACCGCGAGCGTCGATCTCTCGAATCGAGGAGCATCAGCAGCCAGCGACAAATTGCCGATCTGGTGAGTGCTGCGGCGACAAGAAAATCTCTATCATCTACTACGATTACTAATTAGTAAAAATTCAAATAATAACTAACAAAGATGCAATTTTGCTTTAGGAGAAAATGCTGCGCATGCGAGATGACCAGCTCGAGCGCGCCGACCGGGTAGGAGATGCTAATTTACGACAATTGTCATTTTTAGCACATTCGCGAGTTGTCGGAAAAGGTGCGCGACTTGCAAGAGGATCGTCAGGTACCTTAATTACACTCAAACCATTTTTCTAATGTTGCAACGGGCGGGTTTTTAGCCCTCAAACACACTGATTCGCGGGGGCGCGCAATAAAAGTGACAGCCTTTTAGGTCGCGTAATGCACCTGATTACTCGATGTTTTGTTGCATGAAAAACTATTCAAAGTGTAACAAAATATATTGCTTTGAACATTAGTTTATTTTATAGACAATATTAATGTACAAACGTTCGCAAGCGCTCATTGTATATATGCCCAGGTTGACTCTTTACAACGGGCGCTAAATCCTTCCTTGCTTGTACGTATAAAATCAAATAATTTGAGAAAAGCAAGGCGCATCACACGAGGGTGATCAGGATTGACAGAGGAATTCTAAATCGGTGATGAATTATGACTTTGGGGTATCCGCTCAATATGCTCTCAGGCCACACTTCCAAGCGATACACGATGAAAAACCCTAGGGCTTCCTATGTACTCATAGGTTTAGAAGGCACAATTATGAAGCGAACATGGTTGTGCTGAGATACTGGGAGGTTTTCAACTTATAGACGAAAACAATCCAAAACTAAAGCTGCTTCTTTCTTCCTAAGGCGAACTCTTCCTGTAAGCATATTTTTAGCGGTGCTCTTACGCTATCCGACAGCAGCTGAAAATTCTGAACAGCAGGACTACCTTGGCTCGGTTTCCACAGAGCATGCTTTGACTAATATGAATACTTTCTTCAGTGATCGTCGAGTCCGGAAAGATATCGGTCGAATTTTGCGCGAAGCATACATAGCCAGGATTTTGGCCCAAAATTGTTTCCGTTGATTGCACCCGTGCTGACAAGCCGAGAAGCTAGAAAACTCGACGAAATATATTTGATATTGTCTCCCAGCAGATGCTCTTTCCAAATTATTTGATTTTATACGTTGAGCCCTATGAGCGCTTGCGAACGTTTGTACATTAATATTGTCTATAAAATAAACTAATGTTCAAAGCAATATATTTTGTTACACTTTGAATAGTTTTTCCTGCAACAAAACATCGAGTCATCAGTTGCATTACGCGACCTAAAAGGCTGTCACTTTTATTGCGCGCCCCCGCGAATCAGTGTGTTTGAGGGCTAAAAACCCGCCCGTAATGTTGCACCCTTTTCTAGCACCTCGACCATGATATCCATCATACCGAGGATCGCTACGAGCGCGAGTTACAGGTATCGAAAAGAGAAAATAGATAAAAACGATTAAATCTAACCTCAAAAAGTAAATTTACTTAAATTAAAGTAAACGGAGATTTCAAAACTAAATATTTTTAGGTAGCTGAGCGAAAGAATCGACAATTACGCGAGCGTATCGATACGTTGGAGGAGACCTGTACGAGGCTAAAGGTATTCTAATAATGGCTATATTTCTATTCTACTAATTTTTAAACTAAAACCACAATCGAATCAAGGCCTTCTAATATTTTATTAGATTCAACTAATCAAAATTGGTTTCTAATAAAGCCGTCCTAACTTAATGAAAGTCGGAAAACATCAAAAATCATATTTTAGAAAGAACGGGATCAACTGCAACAACAACCGCTTTCCCTCGGCAAATCGCACACGGTAATTTTACAGCTTAAAGTGTTTAAATACAACAAATTAGCTGAATTAATAATTTAATAAATTTGACAATTTAACCATTTTATTTCCCAGGACGTGGCCGACGATTTGCTTTTTGTCCGCGAGCCGAGCCACGCTTCTATAAAGGGCTACAACACGCCAAACGGCAATTTGCCGCGATCAATGAGTTATCAGGTAAATTAATAGTAATGAGAAAATTTAAGTAGGTTTAAAGCGCTAAATTTGATGCATTTTGAAACTCTAAAAATGCAAAAATGAGTGCTAAAAACAACGAAAAAAATTATTGAAATTTAGCTAGAATAAAAAGCTTCAATTTACTTGAATTTTTTTGTATTAATTCGATTAAAAATAGCCGGGATAAGCCACTGAAAGCCCTGCCATTTCCGCCGCCTTTCGGACCCCTCTTTCTCTGCGTCTCTTCCCCTCGACGAGGCCAAGGCCACC